TTGGCTATTCAGGATCTTTTCTGGTTCCACACAAATTTTAATATTGCTTTTTCTATTTCCATGAAAAGTGACACTAGAATTTTGATGGACATTACATTGAATCTGTAGATCACTTTGTGTAGCAGGGGCATTTTAACAGTATTACTTCTTCCAATCCATGGATATGGGTTATTTTTACATTTATTTGTCTTTATTTTCTTTCATCAACAGTTTATATAGTTTTCAGTGTACAGATCTTTCCACCACCTTGGTTAAATTTACTCTAAAGTATTTTACTTTTTTTATGCTATTATAAATGGGATTGTTTTCTTAATTTTTTGGGATAGTTTGTTGTTAGTATATAGAAACACTAGTGAGTTTTGTTTTGATTTTGTAACCTGCAACTTTACTAAATTTATTTATCAGTTCTAACAGTCTTTTGGTGGAGTCATTGGGGTTGTCATCATATAAGATCATGTCATCAGCAAACAGATAATTTCACCTCTTCTTTTCCTATCTGGATGGTTTTTATTTCTTTTTCTTACCTAGTTGCTCTGACTAGGACTTCCAATGCTATGTTGAATAGAAGTGATGAGTATATAGTCAACTGTGTATTTACCCTTGTTTTCATTTTCTTTACCTAATCTATTTTTTAATGTTTAATTAAATATGCATATGGAATGCATGTTATACATAAAGTACATGTTATACATAAAAATTAGTTTAAATACTAATAACTAAACACCCATGTGCAGATGCCAAGCTTAAGAAAGCATTATTTGAAAACCTCTTGCTTCCCTCTATGAATGATCATACCCCTTTCCTCTACTCCTACAAGTATAACCACTAGTCTAAACATTTGTATTTTTCATTCTTTTTACTTTTTAATTTTACTGTGTCTGAATGGATCTCTCAATGCTTATTTTGTCTTAAATGCTACTGCATTTTCTATAAAAGAAATCATACTGTAGGTTTCTTTTATAGGTTTCTTTTATATTGAGTATCTTTTTTACTCAAAAGATTCCTTGTGATATTTGTCCGTGCTGCTGGACGTAGCTGTGGTCTGTTTGTTTGCACTATAGAGCAGCCCATTATACAAAAATAGCGCAATATCTATTTTTCATATTTTCTTCCTGATAATTCTATCCTCTCACATTCCTAACTATATAGGATTTCAGAAACATCCTAAAAAGATTTTAAATATTAAAATATGTGTTTAAAAGGAGAGTAATTTTTCTCAGCCACTGTCCCCTTCGAGTTGTGTTTACTCCCACATCTGTTTAAATCAGTTGCATAATTATGTAATTTAAATATATATGAACCACTGCAATATGAATACAAAAAAGTTGTCCCTATAAAAATAAAGTTGAGTACTTTGGAAAGACTCACTGAAGGCAGGTAGCTAAGTCAAGCTGTTGTTGACTTATGTGAGAAAGATAATTCAAAACAATGAGGTAAAAAAAAACTTCATAAAAACTTAGTGGACTTCAGCCTTCAGATTTCTTTGTAAGTGCTTTTAAATTCTCAACACTCTTTAAAGACATCAAAATGATATACTTTGGGTAGTGAAAGAAAGAGTGTTAGGGGCTGCTTAAAGAAAAAGCTTTGTTTCTACTTCAAGGGATTATCTTAAAAAGGTACATTTATATTTCTTAAATAAAAATATAGTATTTTTGAATTTCTTATGATTCCCAACTTTAAAAGTTTTTTTCCTATATAGACCAATTATTAGACTCAATCACCTCAGTAAAGAGGGACTGTATCCTATTTATTTACTTCGACTTTTATTTGACAAAAGATTCAGGTATCTTACAAAGAAATAAACTTTAATGACCTAAATAAATTTAAAGTAAGAAAATTGAAGCAAAAGATAAATAAGGGTATAAAAGAAAGATGCAGCCATGTTAATTTTAAGAAATGAATGCCATGTTACCCATTTTACTTTGCTAAGGATAAACTTATCCCTAAGTTTTCCAGTAATCAGTACAATAATGCAAATAAAGTTATAATAGTAAACTATCCAGGAGCTTAAAAACAAACATGAAAATAAAGAAATAAATAACCTGATACTCAGGAAAAATAAGTATAGTTATCCATAATACAGAGAATAGAAAAACGTTTCTCCAGTAGATAACCAGAGGCATTTATAATGTAGTAACTATCAGCAAATTCCTCTAATAAAAACAATAACAAGTCCTGTAAAGCGGGGTTTTGATGAAATAAATAATATGAAACACATACATGCACATATAAATATAAATATGAAATAGGTTTCTGTGTTGATACATTTTTTTAAATGAATGACATCTTGCTAAAATACAATTTATAAAAAACAATTGTAAGTAGAGCAAATGTTCTATAATCCAATTTCTCCATATTCTAAGAGTATATATTAATCAAGGATTGGATTTTAGAGCAATTTAAAGCAGTGGTACCTAAAACATTTTGTGGTAAAATATCACTTTGAAAATCTGATCAGAATCTGACCAATTTCCCCAAATCTGAAATAGAATTTCTGGGAATACCCAGAAATTTATAAATATCTTACAAAGCCTACCTACCAATACCTGGGTATATAACCCAAGGCTAAAAATTCTTGGACTAGAGTAGTCACTGTGATTGTAGGTCCTTTACCCAGTGCTTGAAAACCATTTTCTCTTAGCTAGCATTCTATAAGGTCGAGCTTATATGGATTCAAGATTACTCCTTCTGCCAAGTACCTGGAGTGAAGATATTTTTAGCTATAAGTTAAATGTAGAGTCATGATCTATTGAGCTAAGGTAGGATTCACCTCCTTTCATAAAAACTGGGCTTAACAAAAATACTAGTCTGAAACAACCACTCCAGTTGGAATCTAAGGGAGTACTTGTCAATAGGATCAGGATTTTCCTTGGGTTGGGGGTGGCTGGAGAAGCAGCATGCCCCATAATGCTGACACCCTCAGCCTCCCTTCCCTGCTAAATAAATAAATAAATAAAAGATTTTCCTTGGACAGCAATTTGGGTATACTCTCAATACAGAGATAAACAATGAGAAATTCCATGCCAGAAAGTATGATCAAAAAAATTCAGTCTGGAAAAATTTTCAAGTACTCCTTTGCCTCAAATAGGTCTTATTTAGTAAAGCATTCAGTAATGTACATCCTGTTTTTAATCAATGTAAATTCTGATATATTTACATAAGACAGGTTTAATTATTGTTCTCAACTCCTCACTCATCCGCAGTAATATATCTCCACACCCTTGCCATGGCCTCATCATAGGTAAAGTGCATATCCTGTGGCTTTGAGCTACATTACATGATTTATTTTAATAACAGTGGGTAAGCAAATATGATATGAGCAAAGGCTTAAAATGTGTGAAACAGGGCTTACCCTCTTCTGCCCCTCCCTTTTGGCAAGGGAAGAATATGCCTCGGACAGCTACTGGCCCAAGGAAGATGAGTAACAAATGGACTAGATCTGGACCTAAGAAACAGCTTGGAATCAAACCCAGACTAGCTCAGTCTTTATCAGTTGAACCTCAACTCCACGTGTGAGCAAGAAATAAAGGTTTAGGTTTGTATGAGTTTTAGGATGATTTCTTATGCAGCATTATTGTGGCAATTACTGACATATACAGTAGATAAGTTTGTAAATTGCAAAATGTAAACATCAATAACTAAATTACTACATAAACTATTGGGTATAAATCATTGGGGGCTTACGTGTTAAGAGCAGAATTTTTTTCTTCCTTGAGAGATGGTAATAGCATACTAAAGGCAACAATTCTTATCTACTCTGACTATGTTATTGATAGGTATTTTCAGACTGTTTTTCCATCTATAAGATTTATGTTCTAATAGCTCAGTGATTATCAAAGGCAGGGAGGAAGGAATGGTAAGTCGAGGTGGGGATTTAGCCCTGAAATTCTTAGAATTGCTAGTACATGGTAATAAAAAGGGCATGCACTTTAACTGATTTTATTACTGTCTCAAAATTCTCTACATATGAAGTATCCCCTTATTGCCTGGACCTGGGATGCGCTGCTCCCATTATACCACCCACCTGGGTGACCTACGAAACAACCCATAATTGTTTAGAACATAAGATTCCAAAAGTGGAATTTTCAAAAATAAAACGCAGGTAGTACCAGAAGATCACTCATTTATTTTATTACTATTAAAAGCTTTATATAAAAGTTAATCACAATGAAAAAAACAAGGTCTCTGAATCATAACAAAATTGGCATTATAACAGAAAATGATCTCAAATGTAAAGCCATTCAACTAAGCTAGTACTTACATACTCTTTATATATATTAAGACTACATCTACCATTTAGTCCCACATTTCATTTTCAATATATTCTTTATTCATTAATTTGATTTTAGACATATAGATAATCATCTTAGTAAACCAAGGGCCAATAAGAAATACAAGCACTAATAAGAGCACTCCTGGATTTCCTTTTTTCCTCCTTCTAACAGTTCTTGAAGCACTTATCAGATTTCTTTTAGTCAATTAATATAGGTAATAAAGATCATAAAGATGATGTAATTTTATTTATCATTTTTTGGTTTGATCTCCCCCCCAAAGATGATGTAATTTTAAAAGTCTAAAGAAAAAGCAATCGCCTCTTTGATTTCTTTTTCAAATTAGAGTAAATAAGAACACTATTAAGTGCTGTAGCTCATGAATAATCTTTTGAAGTTCTGAAACTATAATCCTTTCAATTTAAGAATATTCAGAACTACATTAATTGGAAGATGCAGCTAAGATGAAATTCTTTAGAGTAATATATACTCTACCTAATATATAAAATATAATATGGAGTATATAATATATACTGTAGCACACATAACAACACATACTCTATATTACTGCTGCCTTTGTTTTACACAATTAACAAACTCCTGCCACAGGATTAAAAGTAAAAAGTAACTAGCAACAGAATTAATCTAAATGAATATCTCAAGAATATTTTTAAATCTTACTTTTATTAAGCAAAATTTACTTACATTTAATATTAAAAGTCTACATACCTGATGATCCAAAAACTACATCCCAAGGGGAACTAATGGGTTGTTGTTCTCCTTTTGCTCCACCTTCCTTATCTGTACCTTGAATTCCAATGCCAGCTACAGTGCTCACCTTCTCAGCTTCTAAGTCAATCTACAGAAATTTAATGGATGTTTTATGCAGTGAACGTTAACTTTTGCTTTTGTCTTTTGCTACATAAAATTTTGATTTCCAACAGAACATTTAGAGAATGTTTGCAGCACAATGTTTAAAACAAGGCTAATCAATTATAGGGTGAACCTGTTATTCAAATGCATACAATCAGTTCCTTTCATTCCCCACCTGTCCATTCCCCCAATTTCCCTTACACACCTCTCCCCTATCATGCCTTCACCAGAACTAGTACTGTGACCTCACCTTACCTATGAAATATTTTTAAAGAAAATGAAATTTTACAACACAATCTAGCAAAATACATATTCCTTAAAATTAAATGTACAGATTTCAGTTATGCTGAGCTAGTAATTGACACATAGAATTTAACATTTGCCAAGCACTGATCTAAGAGGGAGCCAACCAACCAGCTATCCAGCCATTCTCATAATAACCCTATGACAATGATTTTGATATTTTATAGGACACTAAGGCACAGATCGTTAAGTAACTTTCTCAAGATCCCACAATTAGTAAGTCAAAAATCTGGGATCTGAACCCAGGCAGTTCTCTGACATTATGTTGACTCTACTCCATAAACTGAAAATCTAAGATATTCTACTGGAAAAAAAGATATTCTCCTTTCATCTCCTGAGACTCTCTTCCTTATATTCTATCAAGAAAATCTTCAAACATACAAAAAAGTTAAAAAATTTTTACAGCAAATATCCATATACCTACCACCTAGACAGAGTCTATCAATATTTCCCTTAATTGCTTTATCATATATTTTTATCCAGCTATCATGAGAAAGAATTTTCCTTATTTCATAGATATTTTATTCCCCAAAGCTACAGCAAATATTAAGCTTTTGGAGAACATTTATATGCATTCCCTTTTAAGATGAGCATGACAAGATACCCATCATCACTGCTAACACTTAAAAACAATAGAGGTACTGGCCAGCAATATAATAAAAGGAAATAGGAAGTTTAAAAATCAGAAGGGAATTTTTTTTTTTTTTTTTTTGCAGACAATATAATTATTTACATAAGAAACACCAAAAGTTTTTGGCAGAAAGGGACAGGCTGGTCCTAAAATTCAAATTGAATTGCAAGAGACCCAAAATAGCCAAAACAATCTTGGAAAAAAAAAAGAAAGTGGGAGGACTCATAGTTCTGATTTCAAAACTTATAAAAAGCATGGCAATTAAAACGGTGTGGTATTGGAATAAGGACAGACATATAGACGAACAGAATAGACTTGAAAGTCCAGAAATAGACCCATACATCTAAGATCAATTGACTTTCAACAGGTTGGCAAGACTATTTGATGAAGAAAGAACAGTCTCTTCAATAAATGGCTCTGAAAAAACTGGATATCCACATACAAACAGAAAATGAAGTTGGATCCCCTACTTCATAGCATATACAAAAATCAACTCAAAATGGATGAGAGACCTAATTATAAGAGCCAAAACTATAAAACTTTTGGAAGAAAATACAAGAGCAAATCTTTGTGACCTTGGATTTAGGAATGGATTCTTATACATAACATCAAAAGCATAAGCAACAAAAGGGAAAAATGGACAAATTAGGCATCATCTAAATTTTAAACTTGTGTGCATCAAAGGACACAATTACGTGAAAAGGCAAGCCAAAGAATGTTGGAAAGTATTTGCAAATTATATATCTCATAAAGATCTTATAACTAGAATATATACAGAATTCTCATAACTCAATTATAAGAAAGACAAATAACCCAATCAAAATTTGGCAAAAATCTGAATAGACACTTCTCAAAGGAAGATATACAAACAGCCCATAAGCCCAGGAAAAGATGCCATATCAAAACTGCATTAGATGCCACTTCATATTCAGTAAGATGGCTAGAATTTAAAAAATGAAAAATGACAAGTGATGAGGAAGATGTGGAGAACTAAGAACCCACATATTTCAGGTGGGAATATAAAATGATACAACTGCTGAGGAAAACAATTTAGCAGTTCTCAAAAGATTAAATGCATAACATGTAACTCTACAATTCTGGTTTCGTGAGAAATGAAAATGGATATGTATATAAAATTTGTATATTAATGCTCACAGCAAGATTATTCATAACAGCCCCAAACTGGAAATAATCTAAATGTCCATCAATGCTGAATGAACAGATAAATACCATATATCCACATAACAGAATGCTATCCAACAACACAAAGGAATTAACTACTGACATGCTACTTCATAGATGAACCTTTCATTCCACAAAATGAAAGAGGCCAAACACAAGAAAACATATATTGTATGATTCTATTTATATAAAATGTTTAGAAAAGGCAAATTTATAGAGACAGAAAGTAGATTAGTGGTTGCTCTGGGCTGGGGGTGGGAAGGGAGATTATCTATAATTGGTCGTAAGGATGAAAACTGGAGGATGAAAAATGTTCTAAAAACAATTTATAGTTATAGTTTGCAAAACCTGTTAAATTTACTAAAAATTATTGAATTGTATACTTGAAATGGGTATACTTTATCATATGTAAAATATACCATAATAAAATCATTTAAAAAAATCATGCAAACAAGACATGTTTTACAAGGTCACATACAAATAAAGAGATGCACGAAAGAGAATGGCTGCCTATAAGTATGTTTATGTAAGCGGAATGACAGTGAGAGTTGGGAATGAGTACGTAGAATTTGTAAATTAATAAATTATTCTAAACAAGAGAAGGGTCTACATGAAACAATGATGTTTGTGAGCTGTGAATGTAGGAGTATAAACAGCTCAACCCTCTGTAAATGAGGTCTTAAACAAAAATAAAATACAATAAATATTCTTATATTTTTAAAAGAAAAGGAAGAAATCACAATTCTAATTCCTATTTTTGCAGACACTAAACTAAGTCATACAATATAGAAAAACTTCAGGTAACCTAAATTTATTGTGATTATGCTATGTAAATGCATAAATATTTGAAATGCTGCACACATGGTTAATAGTACAAAATCTATTACATTCTAAAGGAGAAATAACATACAATTAAAAACAACAAATACTCCCTGAGTGTTGCAGGCTAGCTATCTTACTACTTCACTATCACTTACTATACTGTTGGATATTTATGACACTGATGAATTAGAGATGCATACAATCCCCAAAAGATAAAGAAACAGTGATCTTTAAGAGCTTAGTAATAGGAAACCATTTCCTCCCAAAGTATACACCATGGAAATATTAGTCCTTCTCGTTAGAAGGACTGAGAAGCTCTGAATATAAAGGGCTCCCTGGTCAAATAAGTTTAGAAATACTGCATAAATATCCCCCCACTAATGAACTCAATAACATGTTAACATATTTAAGCCTCCAAGACTTTCAAAAATACATCTGCTTTAGTTTATTAATTGCACAAAATGCTTTTTTCATGTAATACCTTTTTGTATTAAGAGGGATATACACTTTTGAAAACACTTCATTAAAGAGGTGTTGTCTGCTGATAAATTCGTTCAACAAGTATCTACTCAACATCTACCACTGGCCAGGTCCTGTTCTAGGTACTAGGATTTCAGCAGTAGAGAAAACATATTTCTTGCCCTCATAGAGATTTACATTACAGAGGATATTACATATTCTCTGTATGTTTTTTTCTATATATATATAAGTGATAATATTATAAAATAAATGAGGATAAATGTCAATATTGAAAAAAATGAATAAAGCAAAGAAGTATTTGAAACAATGTGTTTAGACAGGATTGGTTAGATGAACTGTTTTCCAAATAGATGGCAACTTAAAGATCAATGGATTATAGCCAAAAGAGTGATCAGTATGGCATGTTTAGAATAACTGGGTATATCTACAATGGAATGTGATACAATCATATCATTCATGACTAATAAGGAAAAAAACAAAGAAGAACCTAAAAAACATTATGTATGGTATGATTCCTTTTGTTTACAAAAGTTCTCTAGAAATAGTCTTTTTAATATAAATTTATTTGTATAAGAGTAGAAAATGTCTAAAAAAGACATTTTAACAGTGGTTGGTTACCTCTGGGGAATAGAAATTGATTATCAGGGGACTTTTTTTAGCTTTGTGTATTAATTGATTTCTTAAAAACAAGAACACAAATTACTTTTATAATGAGATAAAACAAAATTTAAGACTAATGAACTAATAAGTATTTTCAGCCAAAGCATAAGAGTTGAAGGGAGGAAGGAGTGGTATAATTTTTTTCTAGTTTGAGAAAATTTAACTGAAAAAGGACAAAGGATCACTTTGTAAACTAGTGGTTAAGAAAAATACTTCAAAATGAGGTGTTTCGGGGGGTTTAGGCACATGACTTTGAAACAAAGGATTAAAAAAAGAACTATGTGTTCTTCTGTGGCAACTACGTTCTGATACAAAGAAAAACAAAACTAAAGCAGGTACTTTGGAAAAAAGCTGAATAAGAGTGCTTTGACATACTTAAGCATCACCCTTTAGCTACAAATATTTAATGCAGCAAATAAACATCAGCTTTTCTGATTAGAAGTATTAAAAGTATTAAAATGAAAAATTACCTTTCTTATAAGGTGGTTCTCAGTGTCTGCCACATATATGATATTATTCTTTATGGCTACACCCTGTGGAGAATTAAAAGTTGACTCTGAAAATACTCCATCTTTTCTTCCAGGGTTGGGTCCTAAAAGACAAGACAGTCATAAGACAAAACTTTCCCACTTAAAAAGTGATCTCACACACACAAAAATAAAATTTATATTTAATGCTAGGATTTTAATATAAATAGCATGATACTTCTACCTAAAAACTGAAATGTTTCCCAGGATATCTATTTTTCTCAAGAGTGAATTTTGCTAATGACAGAGCTTACAGTGTAATTACTAATGCACTTAAATATGGCAGCATATATCAGAAGAAAATAATCTTAAAGGCATTCTAATTACCTAGACTAGAAAGATTTAAAAATAATTTCAATCTTTCAGCAAAGAGATAAACAATTTTTAACAATTTCAAAACATATACTTCTTTGATAATACAATGAAAATTATGACCCTTTTCCCTAGAAAAATATACATGCCCCAAAATGTTGCAAACCATCCAGATCCCAAGGACCATTCCAGCATATCATTAAGAGTCCAAAGGCCTCAGGTTAACAATCCTTCATATCTACTATTTTATTAATACTTTGTCACAAAGTCCAACAATATCTCATATACACTTTAAGATAGACAAAGAGTGATTCTGGTCTACTTCTTAGATTTTGCAATGCAGGTGGAGTTTCAAGGGTGGAAAGTATAACACAATAAAATATAATTGCTATTTCCATGACAGGAGCAATTATATAGCAATATAATTGCTATTTCCATGACAGACAGGCATCTGATTTAGATGCCTTCCTATATTCTCCCTCTGAGTTGGTGGGTGGATTTGTAAGAGACGTAAAATAGCAGTAAATGCTATTATCATCATTCTTATTATTATTCTGGCCTCCCTCTTCGTTAATCAAACACCCTCTCTGTGCTGAGGAGAGGTGCTGAGATGGGGGGCGAGAGGGGGAGAAGAAAGAGGAGGGTTGTCTTCTGAGATTCAGAAAGACACGTTGTGAACAGCCAACACTCCCAGCCATTCAAAGCCTCTAAGTCAGAAGTTCCAAACTGCTTTGTAGAACTCCACTGTCCTAGATGTCAACAGGAAAGGTATAACATGGTAGTATAAAGCAGAGTATAACGTGGTGGCTAAAAATGAACTCAATAGCCCAACAGACTTATGTTAAACCCCAGCTCTACCTCTTCCTAGCTAATGATCGGGACAAGTTCTTTGTGTTTCAGTTTTTCTCCTGTAAAATGGAACTAATAATATATCTAAATTATAGCATTGTGAGGACAAAAATAAGTTGCTATAGGTAAAGTGCTTAGAATAACACCAGCATATAGTCTTTGCTATAATTATTAATATTACTGATAATACTATTATTGTTGTTGATAAGAGCTCCATGAAAAAAAAAAGGGGGTGTTCTGTGGTCACATCAAGTTGGAAAATACTGTGTACTATAACTCTCTCTATTCATGATATTTATAAGGCACATTAGAAGGGTAAAAGATCTGAGAAGCCCTATGATACCACCACAACAAAAATCTGTTCAATCAAATCAAATCAAATCCGTGTTTCCTGAGTGTATATGACCAAACAATTCTTTTTAAAAAACTGAAAAGTAACTATTAATATATCACAAGATAACAGTATTCTTAGAAACATGTTTGGGAAATGTAGCTTGCTGCTGGTTTACAGAGAATATTCACCTACACTATTTTGAAAATTACAGAATCTACTAAAAACTTTTTTTTTAAAGGCAGAGACTGTAAGTTTGTTTATTAATCTATGTATTTTCAGCATTAAGACACTACATTAGGCAGGGCGCAGTGGCTCACACCTGTAATCCTAGCACTCTGGGAGGCTGAGGCAGGCAGATTGCTCAAGGTCAGGCGTTCGAAACTAGCCTGAGCAAGAGCGAGACCCCATCTCTACTAAAAATAAAAATAAATTAATTGGCCAATTAATATATATATATATATATATATAAATAAAATTAGCCAGGCATGGTGGTGCATGCCTGTAGTCCCAGCTACTCGGGAGGGTGAGACAGAAGGATGGCTTTAGCCCAGGAGTTTGAGGTTGCTGTGAGCTAGGCTGATGCCATAGCACTCTAGCCGGGGCAAAAGAGTGAGACTCTGTCTCAAAAAAAAAAAAAGAAACTACATTAAAAATGATGGTACCATTAATATAGCCAATCCATATATTAATAAATTCAAACTGCTACAAGATACTTTTTGAGTAGCAATTCTCATAAATGCCTGTCATAAATCAAAATACCAAGTAGCCAAAACAAAACAAACACCACATATATTCTATCTTGGTATACTAAGAGTAACATTGGGGCTTGGGAGTATGATTAGCTTATTTGCAACAGGAACTCAGATACTCCTACTTTACAAACTTATGTTGCATATGTTACTAAACCAGGACTGATTGCAAAGAGATGAATTACTTTTCTCTTTGACTAATATGCTGTTAGATGTCAGTTCAGCCTGGATAAGCAGAATTAATAGAATGTACTTAGTAGATTTTATTAATTATGTAGAGGCAACTAAGAGGCATCTTTAGATCTAAGACTGGAGAGATACAGAACAAAATCATCTACGCTTGCATGACAATATTGATGTTCTGCTACACCCAAAGGGAAAAGATCAGAAGCATGCTTATATTGTTATGGAACAAAGGAGAGAAAAGTAAGATTATGTGCAAATCCTAGCTTATTTACTTTATAATGTAAATCTCAAGTTCATAGGGTATTATCATGGTCTTAAAAAAGATATGGCTATATTTTATTGGAAAGTGAAATAAAATATTCCCATTTAAAATGTCTAAAATTTAAAATGTATATAACTCTTAAGGCACAATAAGTATGGCAGTTTTAAAAAAAATAAGATGGGATATATAATTATACTTAAAAGCTATAACTTAACAATATTCTCCTTTTGACTTAGAGCTTTTTGGGCATTTTTGTTTAATTTATGAGGGAGTAAAAAGAAGTTAAGCCAGGTACCATACATTAATTAACAAAATAATTTTGTGGTGAATTTAAAAGTCAATGTATATCGCCTTTCTATATTTAGTTCTTATTTATAAATTTTAATTTTTATATATTTACCTAACTATTTTACTGTAAAATGCATTATATATAATTAGAAGCAAACTTTACCTCCAATGCTGTATTGAATTTGTCCATTTTTCCAAACGACCAAAATTCTATGATGTCCAGTGTCTGCTATTACCAATCTATTAGTAACATGATCTACTGTTACTTTGCCAGGAAATAGCAATGGTGAAGGTGGCAAAGAATCTTTATACAGTTTTATCCCAATTTTATTATCTCTGATCTGTCCCCTGTCTTTGTAATACTTTAGAGCTATTGAAGTATATAAAAATAATTTATCTTTGTGTCCCTCGCCAATTAAAGAAAATAACATGTTTCCACGGGGTCCAAGTATGACCAGAGTTGGCCAGCAGGAAACTTCCAGTTCTTGCCATAGGCTGGCATCTGCATCATTAACCACAGGGTGAGTGATATTGTACCGAAGAACAGCACTCTTAATGTTATCCAGGACTTTTTCATTTGGAAACTTAGCCGAGTGAACACCAACAACAAGAAGACCATCTGAAAGAGAAGAACGATACGTTAAACATTATGAGATATTAAAGTTTGCATATCATCGTCCACATATTAGGTTTTGGGACATTTATAAATATAAGCAGTCCTCGGTTTTTGGGTTTTAAGTGGAACTACATTAGTATCTCCACTGCATTTAAACACACAAAAAGAATAATACATTTGAATTTTATGATAATCTTGATTACTACATAAAAATACATATGATCAAAGTCATGTGCCTTTTGCAGGATCAAAACTCTATCTAGAGAAAGCTATAAAGATAATATTTATTTTCTTATGAAGATGTTGAAATTTTTTCCACATAGAATAAGCTGCTTTGAAATTCAGAGTTGATTATGACTGCTTTTGTTGAGTATTTATTTTCAAATTATTCTCATAAATTTTCCGACCTAACCTTAACAATTATGAATTAATAGAATAAGATACTTCCATAATATGAGGTTTTTTATTTATTTAAAATTACTACTACATAGTTCTTAGAACAAACTTTCTTATGGATGGAACTGCTGAAAACTAAAAACAATGTTATTTCTTTTACCTAATCAATACATTATTTCAAAAGTTAGTACAAAAGGCTGAGTGCGGTGGCTCATACCTGTAAGCCTAGCACTCTGAGAGGCTGAGGTGGCAGGATTGTTGGAGCTCAGGAGTTCAAAACCAGCCTGAGCAAGAGCAAGACCCCGTCTCTACTATAAATAGAAAGAAATTAGCCAAACAACTAACAATAGAAAAAAAAAAAATAGCTGGGCATGGTGGTGCATGCCTGTAGTTCCAGCTACCTGGGAGGCTGAAACAGGAGGATTGCTTGAGCCCCGGAGTATGAGGTTGCTGTGAGCTAGGCTGACGCCACAGCACTCTAGACCGGGCAAGAAAGACTCTGTCTCAAAAAAAAAAAAAAAGTTAGTACTAAAAAAAGTAAGACGTGTTAGACTGGATTCAGAGAAAAAACTCAAATTAATTACCAAGGTAAAGAGGTAACAACAGCTATGTAAATTCAAATCTCCCAACACATCTATCAAAAACTACTCAAACCAGGGGCTTTCTGTAGACTGAGAAAACACACACAAAAAAAGAAAAAAAAAATACTTAAAGCAGCATGAAGAATAAATAAAACCACACAAATCAGGAGGTGTAATCCCCAACAGCTCACCCTCTATTACTATACTCTCAACCAGAATGCATACACACCCCTCTTGTTGAAGACTAAGAAAAGTAAACAAAACCAAGGGGATTATGGAAGGGGGGTCAAAACTTGGAAAAGCAAACCACATGGGGGTGAGTTTCCAATTTTATTTTGGCTGGCTTTGCCCTGAGAGTGGGTGCCAGTTTTAAAGTCATACAGTAGCTAAAACTCCAATAGAAACCCCATTGCATTTCTGGCCCAAGAAACCAAGAAAACTGGATAATGTGGGGGAAACCTTGAGGGGAAGAGAGTTGGAGAAGGTGATTCCTCATTTCTGAGTATAAATACTCACAAGTCTTGGTTTAACATCTAAACTACACATGTGTGAGACAGACCCAAAAAAGTATAGCAAATGCTTACAGAGCTGAGAACTGAATAACCGGGTCAACAAAAGGGGAAGGGAAAGAGCTGATGGAAGATGAGATAGAATTTATAATTTGAACTAATAGGGTTGAATGCCTACTAAAACAAAGTTATAAATATTCTCTAGAGGACTATAACATAACTCAGAGTTTACATATTGTAACATTTCAATGTCCAGGATATGTTAATAATCCAAAATTACCTGACATTCAATGAACAGTCATGTGACTTATTAGCAAGAAAAAAAAATCAACAGATACCAATGCCGAAATAAAGCAGATGTTTGAATTAGCAAAGACTTTAAAGCAGCTAGGATAACTACGCTCCATAAGGTAAAGAAAAACACATATGAAATAAATGAAAAGATAAGAAGTAGAAACAGAGAAATAGAAACTATAAATAAAAACTAAAAATTTTAGAATTGAAAAACACCATAAATTCACTGGATGAGCTCAACAGCAAAAAGGAGATGACAGAGAAAAGGTCAATGAACCTAAAAGATAGCTCAACAGACATTATCCAATCTAAAGAACACAAAGACAAAAGATTGCAAAAAACTGAACAGAAAGAACCTCAGGGACCTGTGGAACAGTTTCAAAAGATAAAGCACTGAGTCCTAGAAAGAGAGAGACAAACCTCATGTACAATAAATAGCCATATTAAACATATGAAAAGATGTTTAACTCTACTTTCAAGTGCAATTTATAATTATACCAAGATACCTTTTTTTACCTATTAGATTGGTAAAAATTTAAAAGTATGTCAAAACATTTTATTGAAGTAGCAGTGGAGAAAAAGAGGCACACTTACACACTACTAGTAAAAATGCAAACTGGTACAACTCTGCTTGTGGGGAATTTGGCAATACCTTACAAGACTATATATGCATTTAACTTTGATCCAGCAATCCCACTTGTAGGAATTTACCCTTAAGATATACTATCAGCAAGACAAAAGTATTATGTATTGTTTGTAACTGTTAAACATTGGAAGCTTAGATAAGATAAATTACGGTACACACACATAGTGGAGTACTATGTAGTTATTTTTAAAAGCTAAAAAATTCCCTATGAACTGATATGGAATGGTCAGTTATATGAGGATAAACTGTTACATGAAGAAAGTAAAGTATATAAAAATGTCTAATGGCATTATTATCCTTTTATTTAAAAAAAAAAAGGAAATTTAAATATATGGGACAGAAATGGGAAGGTAGGAACAAATACAAGGAATGGGTAGACAGAATGAGTATACCTTTCTATTTAGTTCTCACTTTGAAGACCATGTTGTTTCACACACTCAAAAACAAATAAAATCAACAGAGATGGGGGGGGGGTTGTGCCTAAAATAGAATACAAATAGAAACAACTGGATTTAACTGTACTTCAAACAAATAACTTAACCTCATGGGGGTGGGAAGGACTAGCCTAAGTAATTTTTTTAAAATTATTTAAGAGTGACTAGAAGCAAAGAAACCCCAGTAGCAATGAGCACATTTAGTTCCCAGATCTTGGTTTCTTGACACCATTCCCCACTGAAAGGAATCAGAGCTCCTTAGAGAAATGGCTGGTTCAGAGACGGGGCTGGGAAAGTACAAGATGAATCTGAAAATATTTTGGTGTTAAGTAAGAAGTACTCAAAAAGTGATAAGAACATGTCAAAAGAACAAAGGCAACAGCCTGAAGGGGACCCCATTAGTCAGATCATGGACAATTTGAAAATCAAAATAAATAACGAAAGTAATGAATAAGAATCTATGAGTTGAGTGAAGTCCTTATGTGCATATATATATGTATTACATATGCAATATTTATCATAAAATATATTATAATGTATCATGTATATTTTCCTTCTGATCAATATACCCCAACACTTCCTTGGAGAAGTGATGATTTCAGAGGTGAGATCTGAATGATGAGAATGTGGTAAGTAGGTGAAGATAGTGCTGAAAGAGATTCCAGGGAGAGAAGACAGCACTGTATACTTCCTGTTTATATAACGGGAAGCATGAAGGATAGAAGACTAAAGAAGGTACATGACTAAGCATAGAGAACAAAGACAAGCATGGGACAAAATGAGAATAAACATACAGCCTTGTAAGTCATATTAAGAATTTATATCTTTATTCTAAGAGCAATAGGAAGTCTTAAGGACAATGAAGTAAAAGTCTCAGATACTTTACACTAAACTCATGGCCCTCCCCTCCAAACATGTCCTTTCTACAATGTTTCCTGTCACTGAATAGTACCATCATCCATCCAATTATACAAGCAATAAACCTATGTAGGGTATCCCTGTGATAAGCAATCAGCCCTCCATCATCATCCATATTTAATCCACAGTCAAGTCCTATTGATCTTATCACCTATGACCAGTTTCAAGTTATTATCATGTCTCAGGAAGCACAAGAACCTTGTCACAGATATTCTACATCCATTCTTGTCCACCAGTTATCCATCCAGAAGTCAAACTGATCTTTTAAAAAACACAAATCTGATCACAACACTCTCTTGCAGAAAATCCTTCATTGGCTTTCCATTGTTTCTAGTATAACAACCAAATCCCATCTCTTCCGCATCTTTTTCACATCCTTCTCCTCCCTCTCAGTGCACTAACAACTTGGCCTTCCTTTAGCTCTTCAAGAATATCATTATTACTCTTGCTTTAAGGGCTTGACACAGTGCCTCTGTCTAGAATATTCTCATCATTTCTCACCTAGTGAAACTATTCTTGTCTTTTAGAACCTAAGCTCAATTTTTACTTTCATATGAAAGCTTACTTTAATTCCTCCAGATTAAACTCCATTATTTGTCTGTAATTCTCCTTCTTAGCACTAATCAGAAATTATAAAAATATATGTGATATTTTAATTATATACTTCCCCCATTAGACTATAATTTATATTAATTATATGGGGATCATGTATGTTTTATTTACCAGCACAGTGCCTTAGTACATACGTAGGAAATAAATGAATAGACAAGATATAAATACTAAAGAAATGTATATATTTGTTAAATACATAAACCATTTCATATTGTTCAAATAGGATATATATATTGAACATGCTAAGACATCTATATCTAACATGCAAACAGTTGCCATATATTTACTTCTCCCATTTTTTTCAGTAAGAACCTTAAAGTACACAGAGATTTTTCTTAAATTATACTGCTTTTTCTGTTAATCATACACAATAAAAATTGGGCATAAAAGATTCTCCCTTTTATGACTCTTTTGCCAACATAAGGATCAAAACTACTCCAATTAAAAGAAAATATGGAAGGAAGGAAAGGGAAAGAAGAAAGAAGGAGAGATGGAGGAGGAAGAAAGGGAATGAGGGAAGGAGAAACCGTATCAAAAATTTAATTGCTTCTAAAATATTAGTAATAAAATAACTTTTTTAAATAAATAATTTTAAAAGCTTGAAAGGACTTAT